GAGAACATCACCGACACCCTTGATCTTGTAGATACCGGAGAGGGGAACACGCATGGGAGCATCGACGACACGCGCGGGGACAGTAGCGAACTTCTCAAGAGCATCATACAAGGTATCCACGTGGAACTTCTCGGTCTCCTTGACAGTTCGCTGGACATCCATACCCTTCCACCAGGCCATCTTGTCGGACTTCTTGATAAGGTTATCACCGCACCAGCCAGAGATGGGAAGAATGGGGACGCACTTCTCAACGAAGTCCTTCTTCCAGCCAACACGGCCGAGCATGTTCTTCATCTCATCACGGATCTCGGTGTAACGAGCCTCCTTGTAGCCGGCAACATCGGAATCCATCTTGTTGACACCAACAATCAACTGCTTGACGCCCAACAAGTTAATAAGACGGGCATGCTGACGGGTCTGACCCTGGATCTCACCAGCCTTGTGGTTACCACGGGCAATGGCGGTACCGAAGTTACCATCAGCGGGAACCATGAGGAGGGCGACATCAGCCTGAGAGGCACCGGTGATCATGTTCTTGATGAAATCCCTATGGCCGGGGGCATCAATAACGGTGTAATGCCAAGTCTCAGTGAAGAACTCCTTGGTAGTGCAAGCAATGGTAACACCACGCTCACGCTCCTCCTTTTGGCGATCCATATAGAAGGCGAAGGCGAAGGAGGACTTGCCAAGACGGTCGGCCTCGGCCTTGAGCTTCTCCATCTCTCTCTCGGAGACACCGCCGAGTTCGAACAACAAACGACCGGTGGTGGTCGACTTGCCGGAATCGACGTGACCGCAGATCACGATGGACATATGAGTTTTCTCTCCAGTGGCAGCCATGGTTTTGCGCGGAAAACGTGTAAAGCCTGCAAGAACAACATCAAGGGTTACCGCAAAGGACTCCTAATCTCAAGCGACACGACCTCAATTCTTGTGGCATTCACCAAATCATGAAGGGCTAACGAGAAACTTGTCTGTCGTTCGAACCGTAGCTTCGCTGCTATACCAAAATCGATCACGCTTTGTGCACGCGTTCAAATACCAGCGCATGTTCATTGTGTTGGGCGTCTACTTCGTAAGCAGCCGTTCGTTTTCTTTCCGTTTCGACTAGGTATAGGATTGACTACATATCCTCTCTTCCACAGCTCCACTCCTACGAATTGCTTCTATCAAATGTGGAAATAACTACACCAAATACCTCAAAATTACCTTCTACAGTCCTACAAGCCTTCACCCCGCGAGTCCGCTGCTTTGTGTCACGTGTCCCCAACTAAGAACGACTCTCAGTGGCAATAAATAACCCAACCATAAAGATATCGAAATGTCATATGTGCTTAGTCGGTGATATTAACTACTGCTACTGAAAACGATGACATCTCTGAGATTCATCTAAATATGAAATAATATACTTTCCACACTTCCCTACTCTTACCTTACCAGTTTGATCCCATCAAAACTAACTAATCCTAACAACTATCCATAGTCAGCTTTGTGTCGCCCGCAGCTGCTAGAAGTATCTTCTCATAGATTGTGTCCATGTCCGACACAAAGGATTCCTGCAACTGCGTCTGTGGTGCAAGTCGTTTCAGCGCACTTGCACACAATGGTAGCGTGTGTGTAAACTATTAATCTGTATTTTCATACCAACATTATTACATACACGTACAATTATTACATATTACGTACAATCTACCATGTCAAACGTGTATAATTTAGTTTCCACAAAAAAATACCACCATTATTGTTCTGTCCTGATACTAAGTGACATAAACTATATAAATAGTACGATATAATATACTTTAATATGATATAATAGCAGTATTACTAATATGATGACTTGTGAAATTTAATTATATATTATTTTGATATAGTTTATACTGTATTGTATCTATTAGTGAGAATATAAGGTATATATATCTGTTAACAGACAGGGAGGGCTATAGATGAGGATATTTCTAACAATATCAATAGTGGGTTAAAATAATATACGATTATCCGAGCAAGGTGGCATGCTTCTTCAAAGTCTAGCTTGTTGTTCTTTTACCTGGGTTGGTTGGTGGCAAAACTATTTCTGTGATAGGATATCACTCAAACCGCTCGAGGGGGATGGGTAATGTATGCTTGCCAACAATAGCTCTTGCTTCCAGTTGTGGAATACATCGGTTTATGCACCGTTCTGTAACATTGGGAAGGCTGCTCACGTAAGTGTGGTATTGCGAGTTTTATTAGGAGTTGTCTATTGCTTTCTACATGAGCCAGCATTGGAAGCTCCTTCGGCTGCTACTCTTCGTGTTTTTGGTAGTATCCTGGCGATGTGAATCCGTCCTGTGGGACAAAGTGTTTTACACGCATTTTATCAGTTGATCTTCGGATGTTCTTGTGCGATTCAATCATTGTGTAAAGTAGTGCTGTGAACAACTGTACTACCACAATGCTCCAACTAACTTGAAATTCATCGTATTACGATATTTAATTATATATATTTCTAATGTTGGTAATACGTAATAAATATAGATAATGTCACATGATAATAATGGAGGTTCACCACCCTAGTGATATGAAAAACACTAGTGAAAAACATATTTCACGACTACTGCATAGCGCAAATTTCGGGGTTTTCACCGAGTTTTACGCCACTTCACGTAAAACGAGTGAAACTCCAATATACAATAAATATATATTAATACATCTATAGCCACCATATATGTATTTATACGGATATCCATATTAATAATAAATTAGATAATAATAGTAGCATTAAAATTTTTTCCGTTCACTTCGAAAATGAGTTGTCAAGAAAGAGTCATCGTCACCATTTAGGGAGCTAGGCAGACCTATTCACCCATCTTGAACCTATTTTTAATTATCTTGTAGGCTACCGTAACTGGCGCGGTTGCTGAGAAGCAGGATGCACGTGGGCAGCCCAAGCCGGATAAATTCCCTTTCTTTGTTCCTGTCCAAGTCGTGAAGCCCTCTAAAGATCACAATAACCTACAAGTAGAAAAGTTCAATACCGTCACAATGAGAATCTACTCGAACCTTGGTAGTAGGTTGTACCAGAGTCTATAAATCTCCTTCGATCCGCATCACAACGTCGCCCTATTTCCGTGATATCGGTCGTTGGGCCCTACCATTCTGGCAAGAGCTTCTTATTGAACTCCCTACTCCAAAAGCCATCAACATTCTCTGTTGGTAATACCATAAATTGCGATCATCATCTCCTGCGATTGCCACTTGGACAGGTCCTAAGACCTCCCCGCAGACCCTAGGGATCTGGATGTGCCGTACAGACCTCAGCGCTCCTGATGGGTCCGAGATATGGCTCATGGATTCTGAGGGATTCTTTGGCCCTCAGGTAGTAGGCGGCTCTTCTCAACTAGGGTCAAGTTCGTTGTGTAGGTGACCGAGACTTACGACGCTAAAATTTTCACAGTAGCCACTCTGCTGGGCAGCCACTTGGTCTACAACACGGTTAAGGTTATCGATCAACAAGCGGTGAACCTTTTGGGTGGGCAAAAAGTGCCTCATCCCATCGCACAATGTTGTGAACTTCGCTCAGAAATGTTGGCTCGTCGTGCCCAACTCTTCCGAGTGCGCTCCTTGGCACCGTCTGCAGTAGCTGAGGATCACGAGGAGAGCATAGCAGAGGCGTCGGCGGCTGAGATACCAGTGTTCCTATCAGCGAAGACCTTCCCGCCCCTCACATGGTATAGCCTACATAAACTGCTGATATGTATTGGACTTCCCTTGTAGGGTGGTTGAAGACTTCGTACAGGACATGGCTGCATCACAAACTGGTGCTGGAGCCTCAACCATGACCAACGACTCGGCCATCGCAACGGAGTGGCTCAAATCGTAATACTCGTATGGGAGGAGGGCTCTTAGTTATCCGTTGTAGATACCTGAGCGGAGGAAGCAAGGGCTTTGACGGATCTGAGGGTAGTAGGGGGGGGGGCGATGAACACGAACCTAGAACTCACCATCAATGTTGGGGAAATTGTCTCCTACGGCTGCATTGCTCGTCTCCTGTAACTTCTCTGAATGCCATTTTACAAGAAAATACGATTATCATTAATCATGAAGTTGCATGTTCAGATTCGTATGATGAATCTGATCGTGCCTATCTAGCCCGGCTCTTCCCCTCGTTGACTGTCCATACGCTCTTTCTTCCGGCTACTACCAAATCACAGTTGAAGGATCTCAGCCAGTAACGAGGCTAGCCGTAGATGATTGTAAGGAGCCCTTTGATCAGATTGAGTTGGACTGAGCTTACTGACGAGTTCCGTAATGAAGTTACAACCTTGCGTGGGGAGCTCTTCACGACGGTCAGATCAAAGGTGGGCTGACGGGCGCACTTCATTGGAGCACTACGTCGTTGGGGGGTGGGGGGCAGGGAACTTGTATAGGTTGGAATAGATTAGTATTAGTTTGCCCGTAGGAGCTCTATGAAGGATCGCCTGAGAATGATGAAGTGCTCTCTTCTCCTGAGGACGGTATGATGACAGCGGAAGGCTTCGCGAGTGCTTTGAACTTCATAGTTAAGGCTTTGCAAAAGGGTAATGGAGACTGTGGGGCCCGATGGTTCCCGAGAGGGAAGCTAACCGGCTGGGTTGAGGGATTCTCTTTGCATAGGTTTCTTCCCGGAGTTGCCATCCTTATGGGCATCGTGGAGAG